TGGGTGGTCGATAAAGGACCACGGGGCTTGCGAGAAGACACCCCAAGGCTGCAGGAGTGAGGCCTGTAACAGCCCATTCTTTAAGCAGCCCTCCGGTGTTTTCAGCGGGGTGGATTGAAACATGGCCGCTGATCCTCCCGTCTGGCTGGGCCTGATGATACGCCACATGGGCCCATAAATCATCGGCACTGGTGGTCGGGGGCCTGTGGTGATTTCTCCATGGGCAATGCCGAACTAACTCGTCAGTGCATTCCTCATTCTCCCTTTTCCCCGTGGATCCTGTTCGTGATGCCATGTTAGTAACCGCAGCACTCACCAGGCGGTTTACCAGTTGAACCGGGGGGCGGGTGGATGACCAACCCGCCTTATGGACAGGCCTGGGATGAAAGGGACACTGACTCAGTCGGAAGATAGTAAATTTGAACTTAACGTTTACTTACAGTAAGATTTCAACAGTGGTTACACAACAAAACGACAGTGGTGAAGCCGTAGTTAAAGATGACAGGTAGGAGATAGCAATTGCTTTTTCCGATGTACGTGCGGATGGAGAGCTCACTGTTCAGTGAAATAATAGCCAGGGTGTGACTATTCGTATGCGTATGACTATTCATATGACTATTCGTCCATGGGGACACGGATTCCTGGACAGGGTGATCAGTCCTATCCGAGGGCTTGTGTGGAACCCGGGACCCTGCGCTTTAGCGTGCTGTCCCTTTTATAAACTCTTCAGCCAATCAGAGGAGGCTGCTGATTTACAGTTAAAAGAGTGTGTCTGCTGGCCAGGCAGTCACGCTTCTCCTGCAGCTCCTGATTTGTTAAGGCTGTCTGATCACGAGCTGGTCAGCCTCATGACCATGAGCTCTTCACACGCTGAACATGACCTGCTCTCGTGTTCTGCATTGGTCTGGCATGTGGGCTGAGCGTTTGGTCACCTTTTCTACTCAGACAGTGCTATGCCTAGAAACATAGCTATAGTGGAATAATTTCTCCATAGTTATACCCATATAACTACCTTGTATAAACACGCTTTTGGAATAAAAGAAAAATTACTCTGCTTCCTAAATGATGTATATAGTTATTCCACTATAACTATACTTATTAATTTCTTGTGTCAGTCAGCCAATCCAATCAAGTGCCATTCTTGTCAAGAGGATTAGTGACATGATGAACAAATGCTCTCCACTTGGCTCTGTCTGTCATCAGCTTTGCCATTCTATCCTATTTATGAATAGTCTAGTTCACACTTCCATGCCTTCATACCATCTCTTCCTTGGTTGACCCAACTTTCTCTTCTGTGGTGCACAACATTCTGTTATATCTTTTTCTAGGATATAATATCTGTATTTTTTCTAGTATGTACTTATATCTATATGTTTCTTTATGTAGCCATGCCCAAAGAGGAAACTATTTAAGGGATTCAATGGCGGGCACAGTGTGTTTGGTGCAATAGGAGAGGAAGCATTTGTGATTGATTTGAAGAAGAGAGAAACCTAGGAACTTCTTACTGGGTGTGTCTAAGCGTGCATTTATGCCAGCTTAATTTTACTGCACAGTAAGTGG